CACTCTTTTAATTAATTAATCAATTAATTAATTATTCATTTATAATGAACATTCACCTGCAAGAGGTTGCATTGGATCATCAGCTGCATTCAGACACAAAACAGGCACTTCAATTAAATGTAATTTCTTGTGCAGCGATGCATTGTCGTAATAATCATCTACATCTTTGTATCCAAAATGTTTTGCAGTGAAATTTGAATCGAATTCTTTAATAGTTTTACTCTGCAAGCGTAAACAATTAATATATCATTTTGTATTTCGATTTTTCTAGCTGATCGATACCTTCAGGACTGCCTCCATATTTATATCCGAGAAACTAACATCATTTGAAGATATTCTTCTGATATTTCGGCACAGATTCTGCGCGAGGTGTCTGTTCAGTAATAAATTAAAAAATGGCTTTTCAAAGCTCTTGACAGCTTCCCTGATATTCCATGGTGCAGAAATTATAAAAGCTGCTTTCAATTTTTTCGTTGCAGCCGCACCATTTTCGGCTAGATAATTTCCTAGGATCATTCTGAAATTCAGAAATAAAATTCACACGATTGAAATCATTGATGATGACTTGGGATTAATTAATTAATTAATTAATCAATCAATCGTAGATTTTCTAGGGAAAAAATGGAATGGGTTATTGATACATTAAAAAAAACATCCAAAAATTTATTTTTTCATGATTCATGGAGTAAATATTAATTTGTTTACCCGCCCATTGAAACTCCAGTGGCTCCTATGGGAATATTTGGATGAGTCTTTTTGAGATGGTCCACAACTTCAGTGAAATCATCGACATTAGCGGCGCAATACAATCTCGGAGTCTATATTTTTATTAATAATAAAATTCGATTTATGAAAAAGTCAAAGGAAAATTTATTCTATTTTTTAATCGAATACAAAATTCTTCAAAATCAATTCCACTTCATTGAACATTTTCTAATTAAATTATTTATATATATGGAAAGAATTTAAATAATTAATAAACAAGCACTGCCAGGACTCGGTCATTAAAAATGTCAAAAAACCATTTTTTTACTTAAAAAACAATGAGAAATTAATTTGCTATTTAAATTTATTGTTAAAAATTTGTAATTTATGTTCTATTTTGATTTTTACCTTCAGGGGGACACCCCCAAGTCCTCGATTATTAAAAATAATACATCTGATTCCGATGGCCTTGGCGCCAGTGATAAGACCTTTTATATAATCAGCTTGACTTGATCCTGTCAATCCAGGAAGAATTATGACAATTGGAGATGTAGGGGAGCAATTCTGATCTGCCCAATCTAGTGCAACTTCTCCGCCATCTCGCAATGTAAAAAGTTCTCTGTAAATTTCAAAATTCGCGCTATAAAGTGTTTTTTTCATTAATGCATTAATTTACAGAGGATTATTTACCGTATAGTTATATATTATAATAAAATCAATAATTTAATTTCGAAAATTCTGAGTGAAAAAATTTTCACTGGAATAATTTAAAAAAAAAAGTTTAGTTATCGTTTACCTGCGATATTGTACTCGCGGTGATAGTATTGTACGAAGGACACTCGCTAAAACGGTTTGTGCTCTTGCCTCGAAGCACCAGAATGTCGGCCAAAATTTACTCCTGATTATCGTCACATTTTTCTCAATGAACGTGCGAAATGGGCCCTCGGCGCAAATTAATTCCGGCGGCTGCAGTTGATTAAATGTCCGTTCATTAATTACATCTTCAATTTACGGATTCATTGCGTCATTAATCATTCAATGCAATTAGTCAATTTTTCATTCTATTTCATTGTTAATCCATTAGTTAAATCGAATAATGGAATATTTTGAAAGAGATTAAAAGTAATTATATAATTTGGATTTTGAAATTTTTTGGTTGAATTGGAATTTTTGGGTCTTACTAATTTCCTGATATCGTGGAGCAATTTTGATTTTTTAAATGAAGTTCTAGATTTGTTTAAAAATTGAAAATTGAAGAATTGCCGCGTGGCCTTGGGGAATAAAAAATAATGCATAATTATTCCGTTTTACATTTTTTACAATAATGTTAGAGTATTCGAAAGGTCAAGAATTGTGAAAAAAATGGACTCTCTAATTCTGTCTTTTTAAATTCAATGACATTTTTTTTGTGAATGAAGCATTACAAATATTAATATTTATAACAATCAGTATAAATAGTTGCATTTTAATTTTGAAGACTTCTATATCACATTGATTTGTTAATCTATTATATTATATTTTTAAATAAAAAAAACAGAGGAACGAAATAAAATATCAATTCCATTTCCATCGAGAGAGGAATGAATTTACAAAATTATTATTGATTATAGAGTTTATACGCAGAAATCAATGGTGACTTACTCACCTTGACAGCTTCACGGAGATAATAAATTAAATATCCAACAGTGAGAAAAGAAAAGCCGTAACCGATTTTTGGCATGTCATATATTACCTCTAGCATTATGAAAACTCACAGCGATTTATTAAATTATTAAATCGAGATGTTCATCAGTGGAAGAGAAATGATTAAGTGGTTTCTCTCGTCGTGTTAACCTAGCCTTATTCACAAAGTTCAACTGAATAAAGTGTGCGATAGTACCGATAATGCCGACGTGCAATTGCAAAACTGCACTCGTTATCGCAAGTAAATGATATATAAATTGTCAGAAAATATCTTAATTATGCCACAGGGAATTGCAAGTCCGAAATTATTTCCTTGTCGGAAATTTCAAATGCTGATTTTTATCGGGAAAAAAAAATGGTGACATTTTTTTTATAATGCACTTCAAAATATTATTTACCAATAAAATTATAAAAAAACAAATTGAATGAATGTTTTGTAAGAAAATAAAGAGGAATAGAAAAGTTACGAATAATTATGGAAGGAAAATTTCGATGGTGGCAGACCTGCTTAAATTGAGTTGTCAGAATTTATTCATATTTTTCGGGGATTCCCTGATCATTGCCCTTTGAAATTTCGTACGAAATATTTTTTTTTTCGAAATTATTTGAATTATTAATTGAGAATAAAACGCGGCGCATGCGAAGCTTGGAAAATTTGTGTTGTATACGCACAAAGTTTTTTAAATAAATTATGCGACTAATTATCGAAATGGTCTTTATTACATCACAAAAGGCACAGTGTCAGACAATGGTAGATATTGAGAGAGGAGATACAATTAATCACAAGTTCCTGTTTTAATTACGTAATTACACAATGGGGAGGAGAATGCTCTTGTCCCCCAATGATATGATAATTAATTGTGATAAAGAGCTGATTCCAATGTGCGTTGGTCAAATAACAAAGATATTCCGTAACTTATCTTCCAGTGTTTTTTGTTTTGTCGGGATGACCATTTTTTGAAAACGTCTTTTTTATTTTATACAGTCATAATTAATCAAGTGAAATCGATAATCCGAATCATTTACACATTAAATCGATTTCCCTACATTAATTTTCCCAGCAAAAATTGCCCGAAATTTTTCGGAAAAATTTCCCACATAAAATGACGTCGAAAAAATTTCCCAGGCGAAATTTTCCGGAAAAATTTCTCACATAAAATGACCTGGAAAAAATTTCCCAGGCGGAATTTTCTGGAAAAATTTCTCACATAAAATGACCTGGAAAAAAATTCCAGATGAAATTTCCCTGGAAAAATTTCCATGAGGTAATTAATTCCAAGAATTAATTCTTTGATATTTAATTGAAACTTTGGCATGATGTACCCTAAGAGAGGGTAAACAAGAGTTATATATGAACACGGAAACTAGTACTGAATGGCACATTAAATTTTCGAAATTAATAAAGGCAGTACATTAATACTAGAGTCAGTATCGACTCTCCAAAATCATGTACCCCATGTGATTCGATTATGAAATCCCCCAAAAAAAAATTCTCCTCCCCTCAATTAATCGACTAATCATCGAAGACGCGTCCGTGATACTCATACCTAACATCGACCGTGCAAAAACCATTAACAATATTAACAATAAAAAATAACTATAAATGAACAATAATAAGTAGAAACAATAATCAAGAAACTATAAACTTACAAACCCTCAGAAAAATCTCAAATAAAACTATACGAATAAAAACAACTACCACTGAAGCTTAAACCTACGATAAAGGAACTTTCTCACTTCATGCGAATCCCCTAGCAAGTCCCAATTAATGCCCCAAAAATTTCCAATTATTAATCACAACGATTATCATTAATCATAATTATTACGATCATTATAAAAAATAAACGAACGATGATTTTTTGAAATGACCAAAAAACTGTTCGACGACTGTCAGAAGTCACAAGTGAGATTGATGAAATGATTAAAGTTCAATTCTATTTTGATGTACATCCTGAATATTCGCTGGATAATCCTGATATCATGCCTGCCTCTCGCAATTTGATTCGCGAATGTATTTCGCCCAGGTTCTGTGCGGTGTGACATCCCCTTTCCTCATCAATAATCTCTGATTGGTAACATTTCGATAAGTTTCATCGTCGTAAGTGCAGCTCAAACTTTTTCGAAATTTAACAGCACCAGTTGCAAATTCGCTGGGTTTACTGCCAATCAATACATGCAAATCATTTTTCTCGTGTACAGCCCAGTCCCAAGTGTCGACGATCGAGCAATTGCAGACGAATGGATTGCCAATCAAATTCAATGACAACAAATGACTGTTTGACTTGAGCATTTTTCGATTGATAGTTGTCAACAGATTATTACTGAGATCCAAATGCTCCAGTCTCCGTAATTTCCTGAGAAACTCAAGACTCGATATTCTGTTATTCGATAAATTCAAATGTGTCAGGTTTTTATTTCTGGATAAAATATCAGGATTGAGTCTTCGAATGCTGCAATTAGTCAAATCCAATATCTCGACATTGGACAGTTGTTTTGGGAGGAGTGGTCCCTCATCAGGCATCTCCAAGGGATTACCATTGAGTCTGAGTTCAATGACACTCGATGAAATTTTATCACTTCCAAATATATTTGGATCCAATGGAGTGGTGAATCCACAATTCTTCAATTCAAGGCTCTCCAGTCTCGTTAAATTGGCGAAAAGATTTTCATCGAGTGTGTGGAGTTTGTTGCCGGACAGAATGAGTTTCTTGAGTGATGTCATGTGAGCGAATGTATTATTCCCGACATATCCAAGACTGCAATAAGACATGTCCAAGTACTCGAGTGATCTCAAGGGATTTAGTAGCTTAACGAAGGCATCTGACAGGGGATTGTGGGATATATCGAGTTCTTCTAGGTGCTCCAGCACATCGAAGGCATCAGGTAATCTCCGAAGACTGCAATTACTCAAAGAAAGTTTATGTAATTTCGGTAGATGTCTCAGTACAGCTGTTAAATCACCAGCGAACATTGGATTGCCACTCAGATTTAACACACGTAGTTTACTAGAATTCTTGAACGTCTCCTCGGACAGGCGATCCTGGAGTCCGCAATTTGAGAGATCGACGGATTGAAGATTGTGGAGATTGTGGCCAAGAGTATTTTCTATGTCCAAGTGGTGGAGTTCATTCTGGGAAAGTACAAGATGACGAAGGTACAGATTTTTATTGAAAGCATCAGCTGGTAAATTTGTTATCCCAGTGTTGCCAATGTTGAGACTCTCCAGACGAACGAGAGGTGCTAAAATAGTTGACCATGTGATTGTCCTCAAGTTGTTGTTGGACATGTCGAGTTCCCGGAGATTCTCCAAATGGATGAACGCCTCGGGTGAGATGTGGGTCAATGTGCAATTGTTGAGCTTGAGATACTCGAGATTAGTGAGATGATCGAAGGGGCCTGGAGTAATTTGCTGGAGTGGATTCCCTGATAAATCTAATTTCTTCAAGTTAGTCGTGTTGTGGAAGAATTGAGTATTGAGACGATGAATTCCACAGGTGCTCAAGTCTAGGTACAACAGCGTACGACAATTGAGGAAATGACTGTCAACTTCGATAAGAGGATTGTTCTGGAGCTCGAGAGTTATCAGGCCAGGGCTGTCCCTAGAAAAAAAATATTTAATTTCACCCGACAAAGTAACAACTAAAAACGATAAGAGAATATAATAATTCACTGAATCAATTCGATAATTACCTGAAGGCCTCAGGATCAACTCTGGTGATCATATTGTACGAAAAATCAGCATCAAGAAGATATGCTAGTCCAGCGAATGAGTCATAAGACAACTCAGACAGATGATTGTGTGCCATTTGCAGTCTTCGAAGTTTGATATCAGTTGGGAATGGATTCAAATGCTCAATGTTGTTGCCATTCATATCGAGTACGTAGACGTTTGAACTCAACTCGTCGTACGGTACAGACGTCAAATTACTCTCGGAGCAGTCAATGACCCAGTTGATGCGAAAATAATGGCATTCACAGTCAATCGGGCATTTCTGATCAATCAGATCGGCATTAAAGGTTTGAATTGATGCAGCAAGCATCAAAGAAATTACTAACGACTTTGACTTCATTTTTCCTGATTCAGTCATCTGAAATTTAAAATATCTACAATTATTATCATGCACGGACATCAATGAATATATTTATATCCCTTAATCAAGTATACTTTATAATTCATTTTAATATATTTATTTAATATAATAGATCGTCAACTTCTCCGTAAAAAAAAAATTTCTTCATTGCGTGAAAAATTGAATATAAAAATAATCAAGTATACTGTGTACTTGATGCAAGTATGTTGTATATATATATTTTTTTTATTTGATTAAAGTATATTTTTTATTCATATGCATCGCAAAATTTTTTTGAATTTCATAAATATTTTTTAAGGTATCAATGTGGTGTTTATGGTGGGCCGTGCGTTATCTATTTCTTGAGGTCTTGTGATCTCTTGAGACCCGAAGAAACGGGAAACTAAACTCGTAATGTATAAACCTGATTGAATTTCTGTTGGGATCATCCGTGGGATCTACTAGGCCAACAAAGCCGGATTGGCTTGTCGACAGGTTCCAGGTACCTTATCACTATCATGATATCTTTATCACTATCGTAACTATATTTGTGTGCCGTTTTATTTCAGAGATTACTCTCAAGAGACTCCACAGAATTATCACTCGATCAAGTACATCCGTGCAAACAAAATGGTGTATGAAAAAAATATTTATTCAAATCAAGTATGCTAGTACTTATTTCAAGGACATTATTTTTAAGGACACGAAGGACTTGGAGACGAACTCCCGAACAGGTATCATTGGAGATTAACAACCTAGCTTACATTAAATCGAGTCGTTAACAAAATTTTATTTGTTAACATTAACAATAAATGAAAGGAGTCATTCAATTAAATTGTTGGCAATATATTTTCACGTACAAAAACCATTGACTCATTCTTTTTGTTTCAGTCCCGGTATTTTCATGTAGCCATGAGTCTCAGACTTGAAAAAAAAAAATGCTGAGTGTGAGGTACGGGATTTTAATGCACGAGCTAAATAAATTTAAAATAAAATCATAAAATAAAGTAGTGAAATTCCATCTGCGACGGAGGGTGAGAAAACATGCATGAGGATAAACTTCCAGTGGCAATTATCCCTTGCGAAGTTGCGTATGAATAATTTTGCCGGTGGAGAGAGTGAAGTGGAAAAGTTGAATGCGACAGTTTCTACATTTCCAGTGTTCGTGGAACAACCGAGACAAATCCAAGGGGATGAGGTCCATCGATCCTCTTGGTTTTTCATTTTCACTCCACGTCACCCTCTCTGTTTATATATCTGTCATTCTATTTTCACATAGAAAGCCAAACTCAGAGGGTGCATTCGACGAATCGTTTGGCCTTTGGCTTCCAGTATTGCCACTCTATCCAACACATATATCTTATGAGTCTTATTGTATCCTGGCATCAGAGCTCCGCCTTTGGCGCCGGGAAGATCCTTTTGGCTCCTTTATCCACCCCATCCCAATATTTTTACTCCCCCTTTATTTTTTTTTATCCAATCCCACCCTTTCTGCATTACCAAACCTTCATCTAACTCTCTACAGTCTCCCATCCTCACTTCCTCACTCTCTTTCGCACGAATTTTTATCATCTTTTTCTTTTATCTCTTTTGATATTCATACTTCTAGGGGTAGACGCTCTCCAACACGTTCAGTCGTACTTCCGGAATTGTCTCGGTACTTGACGATCTTATCGTCGGGGGTTTATATCGCACGTCAGTGCATACCAACAATCATCCTCAGATTTCCGGGATTTTTATTTATTTCTCGGGGCTATTGTGATTCAGAAAGTTTTTTCCGAGGTTTTCTTCTGCTTGGGCATGATCGATGGTGGAATGGAATTTTTGGGGGATATTGATTTACCGCTGGAGAATTAGAGGGGAAATTATCGTCGGGGATTCTTCGAGAATTCTTTATTGATGCGTCAGTTGAATTTTTTAATAATCTTGTAATTTTTATATTTTTACTGGAGACCTGGGAAATGTGGAAAATTCGGGAGATGATTTTCCGGGATTTTTAATCTAGTAGAAATTTTAATTTATTTCGAAATCGATGAGTTTAGTCATCCATTTTAATTGAAATTGAATTAAAAAATGAAACTCATTGGAAAGAGCAAAAACAATAAAAAAATAAAAAATTAATAATTAATAAAAAAAATAAAAAAATAAAAAAATAAACATAAAAAAATAAAACAACTAAAAATATATCAATAAAATTGAAGTCTAATTTAATATATTATGAGGTCATTTTTCTTAAAGAGACCGTCTGTGAAATTCCTACCAATCAGATCCTGAAGACAATTTAAAAAAAAGATTTAGTATCTCTAAATCGATAAACTTGTTATTCCTTCTCTCAGAATCCAAATATTTCCACGAGAGCACATCTTTTCAAATAATTCAGTGGCCAGGAAAAATCAAGCCCATGAAATTCAATCATCCACATGAGGTTGTTTTTCTCTTATCGAATAGGAGAGCCAAGTGTGGAAAAACCGTGTAGAAAACCCAAAGAGGGGGAATGAGAAATAGGCACTTGACATGTATTGCAGAATGTGCCCTTCTTGGAGCCAAATTACCTCTTTACATTCGGTACGAGCTGTAATACGCCGATTCGACGCTTACTGGTCAATTGGGTAATAGTTTTATCAGCTCGAATTACCTTGAAATTACGTACCACAATAATTCCATTCATGTGAGATTTTTTTTTTGCTTCCATCTTTTGATATCTCGATTTGAATACTGCAATTAATTTAATATTACCCCATCACATCACTTTTTCATGGGTAAATCCACCAAAAATATCAAGTATACTTTACAAAAAAGTTGTAAGTATACTTGCGCAAGTCTGGAGTGATCAATTGGCAAGTATACTTCGTCCAAGTATGCGTGAATGGAGTATATCGTTGGTTAAATTGTATTTGGTACTTGAATACTTTTTCAAGTACATTTAATAATTAATCCAGGTACATACTTTATACTTTATACTTTATACTTCATACTTTATATTCTAGAACATTCTACTGTAGAATAAAATGGAATTAGAGCCGTGAATCAAGTATTTTCAAACTATTTTGATTTTTTAATAATTTCATATCGTGAGTTTTTCGGAATAAAAAGTGGAATTGTAAAATGCTTCCATTCAGAAGCAAAACTAATTTCATTTTGTATTTTCCACATTCAGCTCGAGTGGCTTCTCTTCAAGAGTTGAAAAAAAAAAATCCAGCGACGGAGTAAAAAAATTTCAACACGACGCAAGCATCTAGAGTGCTAATGAGTTCGCGGTTGCTCGGAGTATTTTCTTTTATTTTTTCCATTGGTCTCCCTCAGAAAAATGAGAGCCAATTCTTTCTTATCTCTTCATTCTGCGGACTAAGCACTTGAGGGGAAAAAAGAAATATATGAAAAATAGGAAGAGGTGTTTTCCTTCAGACGATATTAAGGCACGGACTGTAAACAGTCTCTAAATATTTTTAGCATGAGTAATTGAAAATAATAATAAAAATGAAGGCAACGGTTTACATTCTTCGTACAGCAATTTAAGATAATTGCACGAAAAAACGTTTATGTTTCGTACTTGATTCAAGTATGTACCTTCAACTTGAAATGTACATCATATTCATGTATTTATAAAAAATATATTCCATCCTTTACCCAAGTATACTTTAAACAAGTATGATAAATCACGCCAAGTGTACCTCATATTTTTCATTGCATTAAAGTATACTTGAATCAAGTATTTTTGGTACTCGAATACTTTTTATTTAAATCCAAATTGAATATCAAGTATACTTTATACTTGAATCGCATATAAAGTGTATTAAATACAAGTCTATGATTTTTAAATGTTTTTTTTCTTTTTCGTTACAGGTTTTAAAAAATGGTGGATTAAATTGTAGAATTTTAACTCGAAATTTTCTAAATCGAATTTTTCTATTTTCAAATTTCAATCGCTTCAGTTAACCCACCATCAGCCGGTACTATCCGATTATTTAATATAACGACAATAATAAAATTAATTGAATTGGATTGAACATACAAAGACGTGATTTACCCTCTTTAAATAATTGATACCCCAAATTGAGGGATCATTCACCCCGAAGGGGTAATTCATATGATCTCAATTGAAAGGCGCAAATTTTTGAGATTATTCTAAATTTCAACGCATGCGCATAATTCATTCTTAAACTTCATATTCTTTTACGTTTTGTCTTAAAATTTTTTTGCGTTGCAGAAGTCGTGGGGAATTTTTCCATTTTTCAAAACCCGCGCCGCTGATTCGGATGAATTATCATTTTTATGAATTGTTTATTGCAAAAATCATTGAGGTATTAAATTTTTTATTCCATTTTCAGAGCTTACCTCATCTAACTTTTGACTCCGTACGACGTATCGACCGCTGCCCTAATATTAACCGTCTCACTTTTTCACTCTCGATAAATATTGCTGGTATTGTTTATAAATTTCACTTATTTGTTGATATTCTCGATTTACGGTGGAGTAATCTGTTTCTGAATGAACTGAGTCCTCGGATCCATTCCTGCGTTGAATAATGCAGACGGGCTAGTATGAATGCTCTTTCATGACAAAATCGTGTCACTCGTACTGAGCATGCGTAGTAAGCACAAAGAGTTTCCGGTTGGAAATAGAGGGTTAACATGACCGACTGATGGTCTCATAATTTCATTCTGATAATATATCCCTGAATTATAGAAACGAAAAAAAAATATTATAAAAATATTATAAAAAACCGCGGAAGTCCCTTTCGCGAATAAAATATATTAATATAAATAAATAAATAAACATACGCGATATAACAGATATATACATCCTTGCATATATTCAGGGTATATCTGATATACTTGATATATATTTTTAGCCGAAATATAATGTTTTTGCCGGGAACTGTACCTCAAATATATCCAACTCATATTTAAAATATATCTTCAATATAACGGTGAAATATATCTGCACAGATATATCCACAATATATCCCGATATAATTGACATATATGCGACAATAATTATAATGCAATGATAATTAATTAATTATAATTATAATAATTATGTGACCATATATATCAGATATATACCGAATTTATGTATGCAATATATATATATATGGATATATTCAATATATATCAGATATATACCGAATTTATGTATGCAATATATATATATATATATGGATATATTCAATATATATCTGATATATCGCATTTTCCTCGATAATATATTAGCATAAAATTATTATATATTTCGGTTATATCTCGGCTATGAGTGACTCGAGTGTGACCTTGAACTGATAAATAACGATTGAATGGTGTCTCATAATTTTAATTAGGGTATGATCTAAGTGATTGATATCAATGTATCTCGATACGCTGGAGTATTTCCTTGTAATTACCGGTGAGGTTGAATCTGGCAAAGCTCCGTAATTTACGAATGAAGTGACTGAGTCGAAGAGAGTCTAATGGAGAAGAGCAAACGAAGAGAGAAATCGTGGTATCGCGAAATCCGGGGGAAATACGAACGTCAATTGCAGACTAAATCGATTTGGGTCTTGGGTTCGACGAATCGATGCAGCTACTGCATTTGACAGCTTCACTCTCTTATATACTGTCACTGATTATAGTACATACGAATCATCCAATGGTTTTCATTACATTTTACACTTCACAGATCGAATCACCTCTGCATCACTGGACAGTCATCCAATCCGAGTCAATAATATAATTATAATATATTATTATATAACTTTTGTATCATTAAATTAAATATATATTATATATCCCTTATATAAGTCCTCTCAACAATTTTTCTGGGAACATTAATTAACTCATCGATTAATACCGTAATTGTGGCGGACTTAATTAACATCATTCATATCAATTATAATGATCATATGTGAAAAGAGGAAAAGAGGTAATTAGCAATTTTGTGGCCCGAAGGGATCGGTTCATTTAGGAGATTTAGGAAAATTATTTACAGGTATGAAACCAAACTATATAAAGAATTAATTTATAAACTCAATAATTCAAGTTAATTGATTTAAATTTCAAAGTTTTCTATTGGAACTCCAATGATCTATAATTAAATGATGTTTAATTAATCTGTTGTATTATTTAAATAATTCAAGCGTTCAAAATTAAACCATCAAATTAATTAGTGCCAATACGGATCGCCTGACCCATTTGTCCTTTTTATGATAAAAATCTCATAAATCCGTCTTTTTTTTTCAATTGAAGAATTCATTTGAAATGAACTGAACGAAATGCCGTTATGTGCCGGGTATTTATGACCTCCATTGTCTGCAGAGGAAGAAATTCATTTGGAGATAATTTTTGCTCGTCTCTCTCTATTATTAAAAATTAATTAATCCTACGAGAAAAAATAGAAAAGAAAAGACTGTCTTTCGTCAAATATATTTTCTTGTGGTTAGTAAATATATATTATATAAAGATTATATGATATATTTGATTCAATAATTTTTTTTTCATTTTCGATTTAGGTGGTTGAGGGTTTTTAGTGTCGATTTAGATATTCTGGAGGTTTTTTTCAAGACATTTGAGACAATGCAACATTTAACGAAGCTGTTAGCTAAAAGCAGTAGCTGGGATGTCAGCCAAACCCTTTGGAGGCGCCATCCGACTGGCAATACTTTTCACGAAGGACTATAGAATATAGAAATGCGGTTGAGGATAGATGCCAAACTGTTGGCAAGACACGATATTCCAGAAATTTTGGAACGAGAGTCTTCTCTTATTTTCCTTGCGCATATAATCTTCGGCGCCAGACAAACCCCAGACGCAATGTTATTCTACTGAGAGAAGATGAGATATTCTCATTCTGCGAACTCCATTTTTTACTCTTGCATTCATTTTATCGGGAGATTTTGTCGCACCACAATCAGAGGAAAAATTCATTCACTTCCATCAAGTGAATCCACAGGAATATTCATATTCCCTTTTTTAAAAAAAGCATCCTTTTCAAAAAAGCACCTTTTTATAAAATAAGTTATTATAATAATAACTTATTTTATTTAATTATTTAATAATAAAATAATAAATAAAGATAGAAAATAGTCTAGAAAAATCGGGAATCGCTTTGGGAATTTAATGTCGATGGAATTAGATGAAAAAGAATGCTAGAAATGATTTTCAAAAATTCCTAGAAAAAATACTAGGGTCTCCAATCAGGACTCTTTCCACCCTAGGAATGAAAGTAAAAATTCATTCACTTCCGTCACTGAATCTACAGGAATATTCATATTCCCTTTTTACAAAAAGCATTCTTTCCAAAAAAGCAACTTTTTATAAAATAATAAATAAAATAATAAATAATATAAAATAATGAATAATATAAAATAATAAATAAAGGTATAAAATAGTCTAGAAAAATCGGGAATCGCTTTGGGAATTCAATTCTGATGAAATTAGATGAAAAAGAATGCTAGAAATGATTTTCAAAAATTCCCAGAAAAAAATACTAGGGTCTCCAATCAGGACTCTTTCCACCCTAGGAATGAAAGTAAAAATTCATTCACTTCCGTCACTGAATCCACAGGAATATTCATATTCCCTTTTTACAAAAAGCATTCTTTCCAAAAAAGCAACTTTTTATAAAATAATAAATAAGATAATAAATAATATAAAATAATAAATAAAGGTATAAAATAGTTTAGAAAAATCGGGAATCGCTTTAGGAATTCAATGCCGATGGAATTAGATGGAAAAGAAGACTATGATTTTCAAAATTTCCCAGAAAAAAAATACTGGGATCTCCAATCAGGACTCTTTCCACCCTAGAAAGAATTTGAATTTTCCCCAATTTCCACTGACTACGATATTAATCCTCTCTTATATCTCTTTCATTTATTTTATTGTTAATATAATAAGCAGAATTGGATTATCACCGGATAAATCCGAATTTATTCACGAGAAAATTCTGTTCGAGTGAGCAATCGATGAAAATGCGCGGAAAAAATTGTGGAAACAATTGGTGGAAAAAGAAAAATTGAGAGGGAAATTTATTTGGCAGGGTTTATAGAATATTATATACAGTGTTAAGTCAAGAGGACAGGGTTGACATCACGAGAGCAAAACCGGTGAGTTTTGGAGGATCGACAATGTGCTCTCGAAAACGCTCCGGGCGATGTTCACTGGTGTTGAATTGAAATTTCCGTAAAACTCATTTTCACCCGATGAATATGAACGTGAATAATGAAACGATATAATTTCCAGTCGTGAGTGGATGAAAATTCTTGTTTCGAGTGCTGGAAAATGTGTTTTCCTAATGATTCATTAATGGCTTTTATTTCCGGATTCTTTCCCGGTAAATATACGCGGAAAAACAAAAACTTGAATATTTCGTACTTTTTCATATTTTTCATATTTCATATTTTTTTGTATTTTTTATTATTTTGTATTTTATATTTTGTAATTTTTTATATTCCATACGTTTTTAATTAAAAATAGATTTTCCCGTGATTTCAATAACAATGATGAATACAATGGGATCAAGTATAAAGTGTACTTGATTCAAGTATTTATTTTCCGTGTATATATTTTGATATTAATATTAGACATATGTGTATATTTAATTCAGTTTTGAATAACACTGATTATTATTGTTCGTAAACAAACGGACAATTAATATTCCTCCACGAATCAGATTCTCGAATCTATCGTACAATCTGCACTAACATCCGAACCTGATTTGAATTTTCATAACTTTGTATTATCAGGAGCGATATTTGTTGAAAACTAGAGTTGCGGTAAAAAAAGGGTGGAAAAAAAATGTGAATTTTCCGGACAGAGGGACAGTCCGTGGAGGTAATACAGGATAAAAACCTGGGGGTTGGAACATACAAAAAGAAATTTAAAAAAAAAAAGAGGAAAACAGAACGAGAAAGACCGAGAAGAAGAGGAAAAGTGGAAAATGACGGGAGAGACAGCGAAGAGGAGGAAAAGTGGAAAATGAAGAGAAAGAGAGAGAGAGAGAGAGAGTAAGAAAAAAGAGGGGAATCGCGAGTGAGTGAGAGTGAGAGAGAAAGCAAGTGCGGAGAAAATGGAGAGAGTGGGGAAAAGAGGAAAAGAGAAAAAGAGGAAAAGAGGGAGAAAGGAAAAGAGGAAAAGAGGGAGAAAGGAAAAGAGAGAAAGAGGGAGAAAGGAAAAGAGGGAAAGAGGGAAAGAGGGAGAGAGAGAGAGCGGGAAAAACGAAAAGCGGAAAAGGCGTACAGGTGTGTGGGGTGGCGAGGGGTGGGGATGGCTAAGGGGGTGACATTGGTGAGGGGGTGGGAGCGAGAGGGTAGAAGGGGTAAAGAAAGAGAGAAGAGAGAGGGGGGTAGTAGCGGTGCGCCGACTGCGCAGCGGAGAGAAATTCTATAGTCTCTGTTGGTCCCTCGTCACCGTCACACCGAAAAAATCCGAATCAGTGCAGATCGGTGTGTCCTCCGGTATACGTTAACGCACCTGGTGTGTCCTTTCTCTTCTCTCTATCTATTTTTCCCTCCCTATCCTCTTCATTATATTTTCCCACCCCAGATTAAGACTGGTAATTTTAATCAAATACTCAATCAACATCAAGTTGTTTAACTGCGGGAGACTGTGATTGTGGGACCATGTGTTTGGCTTATTTATTGTTCATTGAAGTTGTGAATTGAGGTACTACGGACTGAGCTACCATGTGGATCTATCTCTATTGTTTTTTGTTCATTTCTATGTAAATGTTTACGTAGAATAGTGTCGTCGATGTTGACGAGCTGGCGACAAGGTGACATTCGATATCGCTTTTTGTAAGTAATTGTTTTTTTCGTTGTTTTTGAAAATTCGTTATGGTCTCGATAATAATGAGACAGAAATTCATTGAAGACTTTCTTTGGGGGTATGTCTATTGGAATTTCTCGGAATAGACGTTGAGAGTGTTTTTTTTTTGGCGAATCGATACGTTGGGGTTGCATTCTCAATTTTTTGAAAATTGTTGCATTCTCCATTTTGTATATTTTCGGGTTGAACAAGGATAAATAGATTAATGGCGTGATTGGGGGATTGGACTGACGGGTAAAATTCTCCAATAATGAAAACAATGTAGATAAAACGTAGACGTTTTTTATACTTAATTTATAACGTTAAACAATGAAAGAATTACTTTTCCGATCCATTGGAGATTGAATCTGATAATAATTCCATTTCTAAAAAGGTAACTCGCCTTTTTTAATGGTCATTCTGTGAGGAAGACATTCGACAATTTCAATTAAGACATTCGACAATTTCAATTAAGACATTCGACAATTTCAATTAAGACATTTCCATCTCATCTCGACCTCTCCCATAAAAAAATGATGATGATCCCTTAATTATCAGGTGATAATTTTGGGACACTATTATTCAGAAACCAGCGCAATTAATTAATCCAATAAAACCAAATTAATTACACAATAAATAATAACAAGAGAGTAATAAAAGAGATTTTTCAAAGAGCCTAGACAAAAATATTTGAAGAACAAAAACTGACAATTCTTTTTTAATATTTTGGAATGATTAATTAACGCAAAATTCATTCATTTATTCATCCATTCATTTTTCCATTAATATCATTCTCTTCTGCTCAGGGCAATAGAGTTATAGGAGGAATATATGAATAGATGAAATTGATAAAGTTATAGAATATAATGGACACGACTTTCGTGTAATTATAGAAAATAATGTAGTAATGCTTCGATTTCGGGGAGTCGATGTCAAAATAATTTCTTGATTCGTCAGTGCCATTTATCCTGATTAATTTCAAATGGAAGTAATGGGATTTGTGTAGAAATAAATCAGAAGACTGAGTAATTAGCGACTGTTAATGGACTCTCGGAAAATTAAAGATTACTAATATGCCTGGAGTCAGAAACAAACTTTCCAGCAACTCCAAATATTCCAAGTATTTAATTCTGACATAAAATTGTTAAACCCATGATCAAACTGCAGAGTAGAGGAATTGTATGATCAATTGACAAAAATTATTCCTGCAAAATAAGAAAGTTTATTTATAAATCGATGAGAATGAAAATTCTCATCGAAAATGAAGTAAAATCGAGAAATCGTAAATTACTGGACAATTTTGATAATTAAATTGATCAACGGGAAATTTTCAGGGAAATAAATTCAATTAATCAAATGTTGATGAACTATATTTGTTGATGAGATCTTAGATAAAAATGGCATTCTGCTTGTTTTTTTAATTAAAATAACAAAGATGGGACACAGCTCAAGATAATCAATTACATAGACCAATCAATCCAGAACATTTGCATGAAACACAATCAACACAGACTATCTTGCAGTAATGAGTTGACTTTTCTCGAACGTTTCCTGTGATGCTGGTATCAAAGAGGAAAGATTTAAATGGGAACAAATGTTGACTTCGAAATAAAACAAAATCCTTTAACAAAGTACTTCATGTCAAGAGAAAAATTTCTCAAACGATGAAAACTTTGCGAATATCATGAAAAGAAATTTTTCAAATTGTTTCATTGAAAAATCCGGTTCACATCCTCTGAATTAAATGAACACTCCATTCCTGTAATTACAGCTGACAAATTAAATTGAATTTATTATCATTATTTAAATGTAATAAATATAATTTTTATCTGTCAAACGGTTTTTTTATGAAGATTATCAAATTTTTAATGATTTATTTATAATTAAAAGAAAAAAATTCTCGATTTAATTTATCTTTCATTTTTATCTTTATCATTATTATCGAGATTTAATTATGGTGGGGAATTACTATATTGGGGGAATCCCTTTTTTTAGTACATATTTCTCTCAGAAATAATTTTTTCATCAGTGTAATAACTCCTGTTAATAATTCAGTGCACACACTGGCTGCATGAAAATGTTCAACTAAACTTTGTCGAACTCCTCAAAAATGAAACGAGAGAATAAAAAAACAATCTTGTATAAGTTATCCCCACGAGTTTCCATACGACGTTGAAAATTATATCAAGAAAGTCTCTTTTCCCTCGGAGTGAAAAATCTCGCGGCTAGAGTTAAGAATAACGAGAGTAAGAGAAATAAAACTTGAGAAATCGTTAAAAGTTTCGATTAAATTTTTTTTCCATTTCTCACATTTCCATTAATTTTTCGACTCACGCGAGAAATTATTTGAATTCCCTTTACACATTGATTACTTTATTTAATTCCAAGAGTACAGTAGTTGAATTATTAAAAATATTGAATCATTAGAAATATACATAATTATTATTAATTAATGAGTCGAAGAAGGAAACGATTTTCCAGATTCAAATGATTATTTTATACCGTTCCATTACTGTTTTACCTTTACCTCCCCCATTTTTTAATCCGTATTATCTCACCCTTACCTATATGTACCCCTTTTAGTCTCTCAATTGGAGAAATTATCGATTAATATCCGAAGCTGTACTTTTAAAGGCTTTTCTGCATACCAACCCTTTCTCTTATCAAATGAGGCAACGCCCACCTTTTTACAGATCATAAGGGCTGATAGGTTTATCAAGTGACCCCAATCAATATTTCACCCTCATTTGACGATGATTAAATAATGATGAGTGCAATTAGATACTTTATTAATAGAAGATAGACTCACTGTGTTCAGGACGGTCTACTCCCTTTGAACTTTTTTTTTTTCATATTTTCGTTGGGGAATTCTAGGGAATTGTTGATCGGGTCGAGACTAAAAATATAGCGATTAAACTGAACGCGGGAATACTATATTAATAATCATATATTATATATTGATATTAATATATTATATATTAATATTAATATTCTGGTAACTGATATGTTAAAAATAACACAATCCAAAAAATAAAGAATTTAAAATATTAATTCGAGCTATTAAATTTTTTTATCAGGCACCAGAGACTGCCACTGGAATGAAATAATAAAAAAAGTTCATGTCAAATTTTTTATAATCGAATTTGATTTTTGGGGAGCAACAATTTGAAGCTGTTAGAAAATTCCCAAAGATCGGTCTCCACTCGATTTTTAAATGACTCCTTCAATTTTCTTAGGAACAAATTGTTTATTTTTCTGTGAAAAATTAATTTTTATCTGTCGATCTAGCTGTAACCGACGCGACTACTAAAAAACATAAAAAACAATAAATTCTCTACTTGTTTAGTACGAGTAATTGAACAAGAATTAATTGACAATCGGCTGTCATCGGGTTGTGGGAATGCAATTACGACCGCTGAAAAAAATTCAATTAACGTTAATGATTAAATTGTCTGGAGTTTTTGTCCGGCGCTAACCAATACTAAATTTTAATTCTCGACGATTCCGACATCACAATGAACGAAATAAAAGCTGAGAATTCCATAAAGTAAAAAAAAAAAGGCGGGAATACGGGCGATGCAGCCCTTTAATTTAATGGATTTTTCCGTTTTTTATTGGATGCTGTTATTTGTTAATTCATTATCATATTTTAATTAATATCAATGCGCCCTCATTGATGGAGACAGTTCCATTACTCTGATAGTACCCGTGTCATAATGCTTTATAATTCAGATTATTTACATTCGCTGTCACATCCAGGGAATTATATCATTTTGATAATTCCATTTTACTTTGAAAGGCTCAGCTTCATTAATGGCAATAATTTTTACTCACGGTGAAACAATGATTTCTGGCGTATTAAAATAACAAAAAATATCGCCATTTTTGTGGATTTAATCTCAATGTTTTCATTTTCATTTAGAACAATTTATTTAAACAATTTTTTCATCGTTTATAATGCGTGAATAAATGAATATTGAGTGAAATAGGAATAAAAACCGATGATTCAATAACTGGTAGTCAATTAGTTTATAAAAATATCAATATAAATGAATGATGTTTTTAAATCAATATTCATCTATAGAGATAATTGATAATATGTTATTTATTTGATAGGAATTTAATTACAAATGCTAGTAATTGATTTGGTGACGGTACCACAATTTTTGCTATTAACAATAAATCTCTATAGAATTGTTACTAAAAAAAATTGTGGAAATATTAAAAAATACTTTTCGATATCTGTGAGAATGAGAAGACAATCGTTGAATATCAAATTCCATTCTCCACTAACCGAGATTCGAATGGAGGGAATAATCCATCGCATATCCCTCGTTCTGGAAAATTAGTCGGATATTTGGCAAACGCTCGGGATTTTGATTCTGCCAAAGTTCACGCACATGTTGCTAAGCAACCCGGGATTCAGGAAATGCCCCATAATTTTTGAGGACTCGAGGTACGAGGGATTATTTTTTCTCTGAGCAATAAATCCGGTGAAAGCGAAGAGTCAAGTTTTTCGAGCTAAATAACCCACTCGTACCTCGCACTCGGGATTTTACAGAATAAATTGCTGACTTCGTTTCTGCGCATATGATTTTTAGGGCAGGATCATTTACCATGAGAACCCTTATTTTAAATATTCACCGTAAATGAGAATTTAATCTTTTTTAATTGAAAATTCAGACGATTTTGTGATTGAATTTTCTAGTTCAGTTAAGTTAAATTAAATTATGATCTCACGAGTGAGAAAATTTTCCATCACGACGTTCAAAAGGCGTGGGTAATTCCCAATTTACTGCCCAAAGTGATATAAACTAGGTTTTTTCGAACAGCAAAAAATGATCGATTGATCGATTTAACGATCGATTCCCAAAAAAAATCGATTCGCAAAAATCGACTTTAATTCGATTATTCGATTATCGATTACATATTCGATTATCGATTATCATTATTCCAAAATATCGATTCTGAATCGAAAAAGCCTAGTATA